TGGACTCAGTCCAGTGGAGGCCTTGGTAGCTGTGGTCCATTAGTCCTTTGGACTAATCTTTTCCTTGTATCCTGTTCTCTTCATTCTCCCTTGCTCCCAGAGGGATGAGACCAGTGGAGTATCTTAGATGGCTGCTCACAGGCTTTTAAGACCCCAGACAGTACTCACCAAGGTGGAATGTAGAACATTGTCTTTATAAAGTGTTATGCCAATTGAGCTAGATGTTCCCCAAGACCATGGTCCCCACACCCCTCCGCACCATAAAAAAATTTAATTTTTTAATTTAAAAAAATCACAGCCAGCTCCTGCAAAGGGCAGCTTATAATACAGATGAACAAAAGAACTTCTGTAAGTCTTCCCTCTGCATCAAAACCATTTTGCCAAGACCCTGTCACTGTTTTTTACAATTTTCTGAAACAAAGTACCTGGGTTAGCCATTCTAAACCTCTTTTTAAGAATTCCCATCATAAGTTACTTACGTTAGTATTAAATTTTTCTCCCGTTATTCAAGGAACTTTTTTTTAATGAATATATATTTTTTAATTTCCATATACATCTCTAGAAGTCTAAAGTTTGAGTATGTAACAGTAATGCTATTTCATTATCAGTAGAGGACTTTACCAAAAAACCCAAATCCATAGCCGTCCAGTCGATTTCAACTCATAGTGACCCTACAGGACAAGCAGAACTGCCCAGTAGGGTTTCCAAGGCTGTAAATCTTTACACAAGCAGACTGCCACATCTTTCTCACAAGGAGCGGCCGGTGGGTTCCAACCGCTGACCTTTCCGTTAGCAACCGAGGGTTTAACCAGTGAGCCACCAGGGCTTTTCGGTATAGAAATCCCTTTCACCCCCATTATTCTATTTGTATGACAAACTAGCCAAGTCTCTTCATTTTTCAGAGAAAAAAAAAAAATCCTGTGAACCACAGGCTCACTCAACTAATTAGTGGCACTGCTGGCAGAATCCAAGTCTTCTGCCTTCCAGCCGGTGCACTTATCAATACCACACCCTAAAGAATTACCTATCCTCCACACACGGTGATTTTAGGCAGGCCTGGGTTATAAAGCTATAGCTATATAAATGTAGCTACCGAGAACCACTTCTGGTTTCCTTAGGCAAACGTTTACTGAGTGCCTACCTCGTGCTAGCATTTCATTACAACTGCTTATTAAATCCTCCATCTTGCCTGCTAGATTCTAAGCTACGAGAGGGCAGAGGTCCATCTTCCTCTTCGCCACTGTGGTCCAGCTCCTAACAAAATGACAGCATAGCGAGCCCTTACGTACGATCTATTTGAGTTATATGAAGAAAGGAGCTCCTGTGGCGCAGTGGTTAAGAAATACAGCAAGCTACGGCTGCTAACCAAAACGTCAGCGGTTCAAATCCACCAGCCGCTCCTTGGAAACCCTATGGAGCAGTTCTACTCTGCCCTATAGGGTCGCTACGAGGAGGAATGGACTGGACGGCAACGGGTTTGGTTCTGGTTTGGGTATAAAGGAGAGAAAGGGGGAAAAGAAGCAGTACCCGCACTTGCGTTCTACTGCGTCCTACAATCCGGGCAGGCCTGTAGGTACGCAACGTGAAAACAGGGGTGCTGGAAACACTGGACGGGAAGGAGCGTCTAGAAGGGTTCGCCTCGCTTCTGTTTGCTCTGCCTTACCACTCCTCAGCTACGCCTACGCATGCACAAAGCGTCGTCTCCGGACGCCGACCCTCCCTCCACCCCGAGACCCGTCCTCGCCTCCAGCCCTCGCTCCCTCCTCCCGGGCCACGGTTTTAACCTAGAGCGCCACAAGCATCCATCTCTCCTGCCCCGGAAGTTACACGCAGGCTGCGCCGTTACGTAATTTCCGGCGGGACTTACTTCCGGGAAAGACACGGAAGTGCCGGGAGGTGCCGGCAACTGGGTTGGGTTAGGGGTTTTCTGGCCCTGCCTTCGGCTTCGGGCACGTCTCGGAAGCCGGTTTCTGGGCCTGGAAGGGACGGAGCCAGCGCTCTAGCTCGCTCCTCGGTCTGGGAGCCGATGCCGGCCGCGCCCTGGGGCCCCCGTAGCGGGGCCGGACCATGAGCCTGCTGGGCGGCCTCGCTTCCTCGCCGCGGGCCGCGCTGCAGTCCAGCAAGGCCAGGATGAAAAAGCTCCCGAAGAAGAGCCAGAACGAGAAGTACCGGCTCAAGTATCTGCGGCTGCGGAAGGCGGCCAAAGCCACGGTGTTTGTGAGTCTGACCGTCGCTGCACACCCTTCCGCCCGCAGACTCTCCGTCCTCGCGAAGTCTTCCCCGGGCATAGTGGCGGTGTTAATGCCGCGCTGCCCTGCGCCGTCTGCGGTCCTGCTTGTTGGCCTGTGTCCTTGCACAGATTACCTCATTTCTGTAACCCTGTTTCCGCGGCTTCGAGATACGTCTGAGAAGGAGACACTATTCTAAAACCGAGGAGAAATGCTTTGCTCAAGGGCGTTGTGTGAGAGCCCTGACTCCAACTTAGAAATCCTGATTCAGTTTCTCTCTTACTTCAGTACATAACCCATTTCCCAAGCACCCTGTATAAATCTGACCGACCCTGACCTTTTGCCTAAACAGGCACTTGAGGCTTTGTATAATTTCCCCCCCTTCCAACCTCGTTTGAGTCTTGGAGGTGTTTTTTTGCCGTTTTTTATTGTAGAGGCACTGAGTTGAATGAATGAGCTGGTTTGCCAGCCACAGCTTTGTATTAAGATACCCTAGCTTGCTCAAGCTTGTATCAGAGCTTGAAAATAGGGAGTGGAGCCCTTAAATGTCTTCCCACATCTGAATCAACCGCTTACCTCTTCTACCAAAAGCTTGAATATCTCAGCTTTTTTGGAAGCATAAGGAAAGGTTTGGAAATTAGAACATTCATTCCAAAAACATTTATTCAGCATTTGCTGTGTGCACTGGAGAGAAATCAGTAGAATTAAGAGCACTTGACATCTGATTGTTCCCTTTATTTCATCCCCTACGTTTTGAATGTACTCAAAGCTTGGAGCCTATGTTATTAGAAGGATGTTGGTTCTGTTAAGTACATTAAGAAGGTTTTGTGAAGAAAAACTATATTGTTTTAAAACAAAGTTTGAGGTCCCTGCTATGGAACATCCACACTGGAACATTCACTTCAGTATTGGTGCTCAGGAGTCATCCAAAAAGAAAGATGATACTTGAATACATGTATTAAGAAGTTCCCACTTAGTTTTTCGTCCTAAGATTCTTACTGCATGGGATGCTTTGGGTTAGGTTGGCTTTGTAAACTCCCCAAGAGTCAAGACACTTAGGAATGGACAGTACTTATAGTACTGGATTGAAGCATTCATGGATTTAAGTAGGCCCTTTTCTCTGCCACAAGCCATCCTCTTGGTTTTTCCAGCACAGTCCTGGTTTATACTGACTGTTCTGACATAATCATAATACTGTTCCCTTTTCACTCTCAAAGATGCTCCCTTTTGGGTGACAAATTACATAGTTATCCAACCCATAGTAGAACATGACTCCACCCACCTTTAGCTGTGGGTTTATTTATAGTTTGTCTGTAACGTAGAATAGCTCTTCCTTCTCACCTGGCAACACAGACTTTTTTGGTTTGAAATAGTGGATCCTCTTCCCAGCATACTTTGATCTTTTATTCATTTTACATGACTATGTTCAATTTTTTTTTTTTAAAGGAAAATGCTGCTATTTGTGATGAAATTGCTCGTCTTGAGGAAAAATTTCTTAAAGCAAAAGAAGAAAGAAGGTGAGCTGGCTTCACTTTGTTTCAGAATCACATTTTTGGTGATTGCTGTGGGGTGTGTTATTGCTCTAGGCAATTTTCTGCAGCGGGATTTCTGTACTGCACGGCCAACTGGCCGCTTGAACCCGTGGTTTGTCTTAGTCACCACGCTGGGTTGGACCATGGGAATGAGACAGCTCTTCTGTTCATTTTTCTGACAAAGCCCTCTTGCTTTATCTAATAAGCAATCTTTTTTACTCCCTAATTCTAAAATCCAGAAGATAAAAGAAACTGCTATTCATTCGACAAACCTTTTTTTCTGTACTACTACCCAGTGCAAAGCACCAAACCAAAAGAAACCCAAAGCCATTGCTGTCGAGTCCATTCCGACTCATAGCGACCCTATAACACAGAGTAGAACTGCCCCGTAGGGTTTCCAAGGAGCAGCTGGTAGATTTGAAGTGCCAGCTTTTTAGTTAGCAGCCAATTTCTTAACCACTGCACCACCAGGGCACCAATGCAAAGCTCAGTGGGTACATATACATACATAATTCATGATATATGCCCTTTAGAACGGTAATACCTTCCAGCATCAAGGGAGAGGAACCCTCCAGATGCCACAGAAATAAGCTACAGTTCTTAGCAATGGCTTTTTGAAGCCAGTAGACTTTAGTAGACTTCTTTTTCTGCATACTGTGATCTTTGCACACAGTTCTGGTTTCCCTGGTATTTGAGTAAAGTACTGAATTGAGATCAAACAGAAGCACACACCTCTGCCCCCTTTCCTTCCAGGTACTTGCTAAAGAAGCTCCTCCAGCTTCAGGCTCTCACTGACGGGGAAGCACAGGCTACAGCTCCTTCCCACAGTTCCGCTTTGCCCCTCACGTATGGTGTGGCCAGCTCTGTGGGAACTATACAGGGAGCAGGTCCCATTTCCGGGCCCAGCACTGGGGGTGAGGAACCATTTGGGAAGAAATCTAAGAAGGAGAAAAAAGAAAAAGGCAAAGAGAACAACAAACTGGAAGGTACCTTGCGGGGAGGGGACCAGTTGTCCCAGTGGCTTGAATACTAACCACAAAGACCTGGTACTAACCGATAGACACATACAGCCACAGACACACTTAAACTCGCATCTACTCCTGAAGCACCCCAAAAGCCCTGGGGAAGCAAGTGTATTAGAGCTGCTTTGGGTGGAGAAATTCCACTAGAACCGGTTCAGTGCAAAGGGAGCTGGCTGAACCCTCCCCCTCCCTGCATCCCCAGCTGTCCAGGTTGCGTTAGATTCAGTCTTTCCTAGAGGCAGGGAAATGGGCTGGGTGGCCTTTTGAGCACACTGCTGACTTGGGAAATTTCTCATCTTGCAAATGAAATAAGAGATCTCAAAAGGTATAAGCCTTTTGGCTGCTAAGTACTAATATAAACATTGGTTGCTGCCAGGTGGGCGGGTTAGAAAGATACTCAGGGCGTTGGGGAAGCGTCCCATGTGCCCAGTGAGTGTGCAGAACCAGAATTGGCTTGTTGTGCTTAGCGTTCACGTCAGTTGTTCCCTTACTCTCAGCACTGGGAGGGACCTAAAGTGGGTGACCCCAGATTTGCGTTTCAGTTCTGAAGAAAACATCCAAGAAAAAGAAAATGGAGGGAGGTGCTCGCAAGCTGGTTCAGCCCATTGCCCTGGATCCCTCAGGACGGCCTGTGTTCCCCATCGGACTGGGGGGTCTAACAGTATATAGCCTGGGGGAGGTGAGTGAGACCAGCGATGTATAGAGAGGAGAATCAGAGAAATATGGGAATGGGGTCGAGCCTTCCCTCCCTGTTCCCGTTAGCAGCAGCCCCTTGCTGATCCAGACAACCCCGGAAAACCTCCAGTCCCTAGGAGACCAGGTCAGTTTCATCTGCTCAACAACCTGTGTTCTTTCTGTCTCTCTCTCTGTGATTTGAGTCACTCTTTGTAGCTCCAAAGTGGCTCTAGAGGCTACCACAGTAACCTGGACTTCTACGTTCTCCAGTGGCCTCAGTCCCAGGTTGGGGGAATCTTTGTTACAGATCATCACCGACCGACCTGGCTTCCATGATGAAAGTGCTATCTACCCCGTGGGCTACTGCAGTACTCGAGTGTATGCCAGCATGAAGTGCCCGGACCAGAAGTGTCTGTACACCTGTCAGATCAAGGATGGCGGCCTGCAGCCTCAGGTACCCACTCTGATAACTACGTCTCTCCCCCGAGAACCTTCTCTGTGCCAGGTGCTCTGTATGCATTACTTACAAAGTCAACACCTGACACCTTACAAGGTAGGTGTGGCATGATCGCCATTTGGGTCACCCCAAGGTGCAGAAGGAGCCCTGGTGGCCCAGTGATTTAAGCGTTTGGCTGCTAACCAAAAGGTCACCAGTTGAAATCCCCCAGCTGCTCCTTGGAAACCGTATGGGGCAGTTCTTCTCTGTCCTGTAGGGTCGCTATGAGTCAGAATCAACTCGACGGCAATGAGTTTGGGTTTTGTTTTGTTTTTTGTTCTGTTTTTTTTTGGTAAGGTGCAGAAAAGTGATCAGCCCTAAGTCCCACCTCCACTAATAAGTGGTTGAGCTGGGCTGTGAATCTGTAATGATTCCCAGACTGGTGCCCTTTCCCTTGAACTGTGCTGTCTGATATCAGCACTGTGGCTCCGTAAGGTCTTCTCAGGCCTCCTTGTCTGTGCAGTGCAGGCCCACGCTCGGGGAGGATTCGGTACTCTGCCATTTCAGGCTGGATCCAGAAAAGGAGGCAGCAGGCGAACTGCCTGTTGGTGTCTGGCAGCACATGCCTTTAAGGACCTGGGAGTCTTGACTTCTAGGATTAGTCAACACCTTTGTTCATCCTTCTCGGTGCCAAGATTCGAGGCAGTGCCTTTTCCCCAACCATCACCTCTGACAAAAATAGGCCATTTTCAGGATTCCCGCCTTCACTGTCTGATGACATTACAGATCACTAGAAGATTGGCCGGAAGGAGGTAAAGGCAAAGTAATCAGGAACCTTTGAGCAGAAGCTCGGAGAGAACCTGAGCCTGCCTGACTCATTTGGATAATATTACATATTACATCACTCCGATCCTGGTTACAGCAACGTGACGTGCATCTGAGCGGTCAGATGACCTTGGTCATGTGGCAGTTCTCTTGAGAGAACACTCAGCATGGTGTGCTGCTCAGTATTGTAGTAATATACAATATTTATAATAAATACTGAAATTCAATGCAAATCTCATAAAAATTCTAGTAGAATTTTAATGGAATTGACAAGCTGATTAATTTCATCTGAAAAACAAAATGCTAAAATACATTTGAAAAGGAAAAAATCTGTGAGGCTTTTAGTTTTCTTTTTTAGTTCATTAACCCATGTGAACATTATTTTTAGCTTCATTGCAAGCTAGGGAATCTAGCTTTAATTTTTTTCCCCACTAACGTCAAGTGACGCCTTTGGTATACACTAAATACATAACAATACTTGGATCTGTTTTCAGACAACTCTATTTCATTGATCTATTTTTAATTACCTGAGCTTTATAAGATGTTTATAAGTATGTTAAAAGTAAATGCAAAAGTACATTTTTATAATTTTAGTGTGAGGTGAAAAGGTTTTCTTTAGCAAGATGTGAAACCCAGAAGCCATAAAGGAAAGCAGTAACAGATTTGACTACCAAAAATTTAACTATCAACCGTTGAAGTAACACTTCTGAGTGACCAAAGACATGTAATCAGAGTTAAAACTCAAGCAACAAATGGGAAGAAAATACAGTAAAGCCTGCGAAAGCCAGAACCTGTGTCAGGCAGAAACCTGTCAGAGAAGGAAAACTCCTGTTTTTTCCACTAACAGAGAGCTCTAGAAAAGTGGTAAGACCGCACCCTCTCGAAGGCGGAAAACTTGCGAGACCCAGAGAAACAGGGCAGTCCCATCGAGTTCCAGCTCTCACAGGTTTCACTGTATGAACAATAGATTAATATCCAGCTAAAGTGCTCCTGTGGAATAAGAAAAAGCAGTCAGATAAAACAGGCATTTCAGAAACAGTGCAGATGGCTGGTAAGAGTGAGCCTCACTAGTAATTACCCACTGCTGTCAAGTCGATTCCAAGGCATAGTGATCCTACAGCACGGAGTAGAACTGCCCTAGGTTTCCCAGGCTATAATCTTTACAGAAGCCACAGTTTTCTCCCGTGGAGCAGCTAATGGGTTTGAACCACCAACCCTTCATTTAGCAGCTGAGCGCTTAACCACTGCATCACCAGGTAATTAAGGCAGTACAAATACAACAGAAAATGAGATCTTATCTTCCTCATAGGCAGTCACAGAGATTGACAATATCCAGTCTGCCGGGGTCTAGGAAAAAAGTATGCATTGGTAGAAGTGAAAACTGGTAAAGGCTTTGGAGGGCAACTTGTTAATATCTACCAACAATTTTAATATGTGTATCCTTTGACCCTGAATACTTGTAGGTATTCTAGTATTCCCTAGAGAAATGTGCCAGTGTGAACAAAGAGTTACATATAACAATGTACAATGCAGCATTATTTCCAATTGCAAGAAATTAGAAAGAGCGTAAGTACCCATCAGTAGGAGAATGGTTAAATAATGATATACCCACGCTGTGGAATATCACAGAGCAGTTAAAAGAAGGAGGTAGATGTATACATAATAACGCGAAAAGATCTCCAAGACCAAAGCATGACCTTTTGACCTTCCTAATTGCACTTTGCTAAAATAGAATAGTTTGCACACATTGCAAAAGGTAATTGCAATTGATAGGACCAGAACTAAATAGTAGAGTAGTTCTGGGATATTTGAAGATAATTGCTCAGTTTTTCTTGAACTAGCTGAGAAATATACACCATCTTAAGTCCATACTGGTTGAAATAACAAAACTCAGTAATACTACTCACAAGATAATTTATTATTGGTCTCTGAAATTTGATACAGCAAAATTGAATCAAATGAAATACCACAGAACAGTAGAAGAAACTACTCAGTAAAATAATAATGCGTATTATTGTAAAAATTTATAAGAAGATAATCCTTTTCAAAATAATTTGAATAAAGTGACATTAAACAATTGAAAACTTTAACTGAACTTTACTGGAAACTGGTCACGGAATAAAGGTATAGAGCTTGTTACAGAAATTCCTCAATTTCAGTATAATTTTGATGTGATAAGTTTCTTTTTATTAATAGTCAAGATACTTTGCAATTCAAAAATTAAAATCAAATGGGGGTTTACATTCAAAATGTCCTGTACTCCTTCGTATAAAGTAAACCAGAGACTATATGCAGAGTGATCCCATTTGTTTTAAAATACCATTTGTGTTTTGTACATAGAGATGAAGGGTACCTAACCTGTGAAGGGTACCTAACGAATTAGGTGTGGACCTCCGGAGAGCAGTCAGCCCAGGAACTGAAACAAAGGACTTTCACTTTTTACTTGGGTTTGTTTACATTTCTAACAGCACAGTATGGAATTGTTTTTACCTGTCACCTAATGTGGCACACATCAGCTTCAGATTCCAGAGCAAAGAAATATTTATAGTGGTATGACTTTCTGCATCTTCCTCTTTCCCAGTTTGAAATTGTTCCTGAAGACAACCCCCAGAATGCCATTGTCAGCTCTTCTGCAGATGTCTGTCATGAGGAACTGCTCAAGACCATACGTGCTTCTGCGTAAGTTGGCCAGCAGGCTGAAGACGGGCTGGCAGGAGCACCTTGGGTACAGGGAGAGCTGCTCGCTCCCTTAATGAGCAGCGATCCCTCAGCTTACAGAAACTTATCCTGCATCCTTCCGTCTTAGCAACTAAAGTCTCCAGAATATCCAAGTCTAGAAGGCGTTTCCTTTGTATTCATACCCTCACTCCATTCCTGAACCCCTTCTCATCTGTCCCTAGGCTCTCAAACTAAAACTCTCCCTCTGCTATTTAGGGGAAGGCTGACGCCCAGCCTGCTTCCATCTGGAGCTGACTTTTTTGGATTTTCTCATCCAACCATCCACAACCTGATCCAGAGTTGTCCAGGAGCTCGAAAATGTGTCAAGTAAGTGTGGTCACGTGTAGTCCCCTTAGACAAGCAAAGTGATCAGCTGGGCAGGGACCTCAGCTGTGAGTGACGCTTTGTTGGTTTATACGTTTCGTGAGCGTCTTCTGTTTGTGAGGCGTGCCTGCCTCTCACCCTCTGGACGGGTGGGTAGGAGGCAGTTCCCACCGCGTTCCATAATCACTACCATTTCCTGTGTGTAGCGTGAGCAGGAGGCTTGTCAGGTGTCACTAAAGAGACCCGCCTGTTTCCTTTTAGGTTTTTGTTAATATGTTTTTAGATAACATGGGAGAGCTAAAGAAAAAAATAGCTAATCCCTACGGAGGTAGGAATGGGTTATTATGGCTAGCCAACAGCTCTCGAGAAGGATTCCCTTTGATCCTGCAGTTACCAGTGGGTGAAATTTGATGTGTGCAAACCTGGAGATGGACAGCTACCCCAAGGACTGCCGGAGAACGATGCTGCTTTGAGCTTTGAAGCCTTTCAGAGACAGACCTTTGAGGATCAGAATGATCCCATTCTGCCAGGTATCTTTTAACTTAACCTTTCTAGTTGGACAGTTCGCCGTGTTTAGGCTCCCCTCGCCTCCTCACTCATAGCTGAGTACCCATAACATCTGGGCAACACGTGATATAAGCTTTATTGATTTAGTCGTGGGGAGTCCCGAGTCAGAGGAGGATCTGCTGCCCTGCATAGATTCCCAGCGTCACTCCCAGAAGCCACAGGGAATGCCTGGGATCACAGCAAGGCAGGGCACACTGAGAAACTAGAGATTCTCATTCTCTAGCCTGAGACCAAAGAGGGACTCCAGAGGAAAGCTTATTGTGCAGGGACCAGAATTTCAAGTGAAGTAGAATCCATTAGGTCGTGGCCTTGGCCCTGTCTGTAGTCCATGAATTCCCTCCCACAAATGGGCAGAGTGGTCAGGGATCAGGCATTGGGGTCAGATGGAACTCTGAGCTGGAAATAAGGAAATGTAATGAAAATTCTCACTCTTTGCCTAATGTGCTATATAACCCGAAGCAAATAACCTGTTCTAGCCAAGTTTTCTTCATTGTAAAATAAATACCTCTCCTCTCTTATCCAAACAAGGCCACAGTTGGGCTGACAGATGCAAGGGTGCTAAGGAATTGAAAAGACATGTATGTGTCTGATCAAAAGTCTCCTGAGATTCCCAGGCAGCAGCGGAACTTAAGATATTTTTTCCCTTCCAGGATCCTTGGACCTCCCAGAACTTCAGCCTGCAGCCTTCGTGTCTTCTTACCCACCCATGTTCCTGACACACGAGCCCTTGGTGGAGACCCACCTGCAGCACTTGAAGTCCCCAGTGCAGTGTAGCCCAACTCGGTCTTCAGACTGAAGAGGAAGGGGGCAGGCAAACATCTTCTTCATCCTGATGAATTTCTTTAACTTAACTTAAACTAAAACTTACAATATATGGAAGAAGGCAGCAATTCAGGAGTGAAGAAGATGATAAATTACCACATGTTATCATGGAGGTTCCCATGGTGACAGTTTTCCCTGGGAAAAAACTTCAGCTACTTTATTTTTAGTAATAAATATCTCTTGACAGTTCTGCTTATTTTCATCTTGTAATCAAGATACAATTTCTTTTGCTTAGCTGTGCCTGAGGTAAATTAACTCGTTTATAACCACAGGGAGAGGTGTCTGCTGACTCAGGAGGGAGACACAAGATTCTGACGACCCTCTGCCCTGATTCTGATACTAGTTCAGTGAGTATGAAGCCTCAGTCCCCGCGACCCCTCACGTCATTATCGTCAAAATCCAGTCCTCTGCTTACACCAAACTGGAAAGTACCGTCCTGGGTACTCTGCTCTTCCGCGTTCGGCACACCTTTGAGGCCATCAGGAAGGCAGTCTCTAGAGTCTCTTCTGTAACCTCTTCCACCTCCTCTGTGATTCCTTATTGGAGAAGGGGCTTTTGAGCTTAATATAGTGAAGCCACATAACAACACAGATTTATGCACAGTATGACTGAGGATTGGTTCCCACCCTCCGTAACCCTGTCATTTAATTAACTGCAGTAACATAACCTTTAGGAGTCTTGGTGCAGTGGTTAAGTGCTCGGCTGCTAACCAAAAGGTCTGCAGTTCAAACCCACTAGCAGCTCCACAGAAGAAAAGACCTGGCAATCTGCTCCCATGAAGATTATATCCTAGGAAGCCCTATGGGGCATTTCTACTCTGTCAGGTGGTATCACTATGAGTCGGAATTCACTCATTGGCACCCAGCAGCGTAACCTTGCACTCTATGCAACTGAATGTTCTGAACCCTACTCAGCATTAAGGTGGAGGTTTCTGTATCACCTAACCCCAATCTACAGCTCTCCCCAGTACCTCGTGGGATGCCTTAGGTGTCCACCCACCAGCTACCCAGGCTACTGCAGTTCATAAGTACCCAACTGAGGACAGTACAAACTGGATTTGCATGTTAAGTCATAAATCCGACCAGCAGAGGAAGGGGATCGGACAGCAGCTTCTAGATCACACCACCGTAGCCACTGTAAACGGTCAGAAACATTAATGATGCTTCATTATTGTCCTTTTATAAGTTTGAATAACTTACAATGCAAAAAAATAATAAATTTGCATAACACCAAATCAGGGGTGGGGGTTACTCAAAGCTGTGAGCATTTTAATGTTTGTCTTTTGTCCTTTGTTCTCTGCAGAAGTTGCTTGAACATATTTGCACTTACACAGAAATGACGTGCTGCTTTTCTCATATGACAAATAATCTGTTAGTCTTTGTAAAACATTAAGAGCCTCATTTTCAGAAGACATTGTAAAATGTTTTAAATAAATGAGCATGCTGTTCAATAAGTCTTCAATCTGTAGGCTTCCTAGAACAGTGTCTCTCATACTGCAGATCTCAGCCCATTAGTGGGTCATAAACTCACGGAGGCAAGAACTTCACCTTTTAAATAAAGCAATCAACATACTGGAATACATCACGTGTAACGAAGGTATTGTTTCAGGAAACATTTCAACCATAACGTCTATATGTAAAATACCACATGTATACACATGTATGGGGATACCTGGAGTAACGTAAAATGTTTTTACTTACGGATCATGGTTTTAAAAAAGCAAAAGGCTGGCAATTCAAATCCACCCAGAGGTGCCCTGGAAGAAAGAACTGGCGATCTGCTGAAAAATCAGCCATTGAAAACCTTAAAATGGAATACAGGTGGGGTCTCCACGAGTAGGACTCGACTCGATGGCAACTAGGTTTTCGTATACCTAAAATAAGACGTCTTTTCATCTATCAGATTGTTAAACAGATTTTTAAAATTTGACAACATCTCATGCCAGTGAGGGTGAGGGAACAAAGAGACGATACCTTGGTGGGAATCCAAATTGTTCAGCCCTTTGGGTGTTGAGTAAATAGGCTGAATTACTTTAACCCTGGTTGTAGGTGTCAAATTATAAATGTATATCCTTTAACCTGTTATTTCATGTTAAGGACCCTAAAGTAATCGTAGGACAAGTGTGTTATGTTCTCATGTAACGTTCATCCACAGTATTGGTTTACCAGTGAAAAACTGCAAATAAGCCCGTATGTCCATTAATAAGTAGTTGGTTAAAGTATGAAGCACTCTAAATATATATTCTGTTTACGTAGAAAAAATATTTTTCTAGAATAAGTCAAAAACATTACAAAATAGTACACAGTGTGTTAAATAATATAATCCAAACAAATCAACTGCATGTTTTTACCAAAATATGAAGTGTTTCTCTCCAAATGATGAATTTGGGAGAGATTTTCACTCGCTTATGTTTTTCTTTAGTGTCCACATTTTCTAGTTTCATTTTCAACCATGAAAAAATTTTTTTTCTGATTTGAGAAAATAAACTGACTTCCCACATTTTAAATTATTCAACTATTAACTTTCACATGAATTTTTTAAATAAATCCACCACACAAACCAGATTTCTTACACCGTGAGCACTAGGTTACTGGAGGTGAAAGGAACCTGGGCTTACAGTTCTTGGCTATCTTAACTGCCTCCAGATCAGAACAGCCCATGGGTACATGTGTGTTGGTGGGAGGCGTGGACAGGCAGGTTTTCCCAGGAGGCCAGATGCGTAAGAGGCCAAAACACGGGCGTTGACACAGTACAGCATCTCAGAGGAACCACAATTCCCTGAGGACTGCAGTTTTTTTAAGAACTCAAACCTTGGCGCTGACAGCTATTCCTGCTGCTTGGAGCTACCCCAGGACCTGTGGAAGGCAGGTGTGGACAGGGTGATGATGCTTCTCATTTTTCACACTAAGGGGATGAAAGCTACTCACGGATAATTTTATTTCTCATGCTTCAAAGGACAATTTACAAACCCATTCCTAACCCAATTTCGACTGGATGTAAATATATATACATCACTAATGATTATACTTCTATTTCCAACTTCCACCTACTAACACAGGTAACACAATTAACAAGGGCCATTAGCTGTTTGCGTCAATCAACCAACAAACAGCGTATGGTTCTGAATGGTGCAATCCCTCCACATTTGTCTCATCTGCACTATTTTTGTAAATGCTGCTGTAGCTTTACTTTCAGCCTCATTTTTTTCTTCCATCTGGATTATTATCCTTTTTTTTATAGTTAAACCTCTTACCTTTAAAGACCCTGGATTTATATTTCGTTCTAACCAATTCTACTTTCATTCCCTGGCCCCTCCTGTCACTGGACACCTACCACCTGCCTGTTCTCTTTATTCTTGAAGGCATCCCTTAGCATCTCCCGATCTGCCTGCTTTGACCCGGGTGGGTGGGTGGTTTTAAACACTCACATGATCATTATCTTAGATTGAAGGAACGGGATTGTTTACGGCTTAGCAAACAAATAGAGCTGTCTTCAATTACCTGAAAGACCACTGTGTTTCACAGAAGTTTCATGGAAGAAAGATTTCAATTCCACATAAGGAAAAACTGTTAGGAAGTTTAGAATGTAAACTTCATACGGAGCTCCGATACCTTGTCGGGGATTTTTGTAAAGGTCACATAAGCACTAGCTGATCTAGATGGTCTTTAAAATCTCTTCCAACTCAGATGGTACAGTTCCCGGTGAACGGGCAAAAGTTGTAGACACTCCACTCCCACTAATATGAGGGAAGTGAATGACATTCAGAGCCAATTTGTTCCTAGTCCAGAATTAGTCCAGTAGAGCCTCTAGACTAGCGGACACAGGCAAGCATGTCCGTTCGTTTAGTAGTGGGATTTTCACCTTCCACGCAGAAGACTAGGGTTTGATTCCTGGCCAGAGCACCTCACACACTGGCATCACCCCTCCGTCTGTGGAGGCTTGCGTGTTGCTATGTTGAACAGGTTTCAGCACAGCTTCCAGACTAAGACAGACCGAAGAAAGACCTAGTGATCTACTTCCAAAAAATCAGCCAATGAAAACACTATGAATCACAATGATCTAATACATAATTGATGTGGGGGATGACGCAGGACCCAGCAGCACTTTATCAAGTTGTGTGGGGTCACCATGAGTCAACAGCAACTTGACGGCAGCTAATGACGGCTCTGACTGGGAGCCATCCAGTGAGGCTTATCTATTAATTTACTTTAAAAGCAACAGTACTCATCATTGAAACCACTAAATGCCCAAATCCAAAGCACCCACCCTTATCTCCAGGATATGATCATATTGCCATAGATCATCTGGCATCCTTGCTGTGATGTCCAGGAGTCTGGTGCGTCATGAAAGCAACGAAAGGAGGAGCTGGCAGGGTACTGCTGGGGTGGTACAGGGGACACTGCTTATATTCGCAAGGCCATGTGGTCCAGGCATAGCGGAGAGCACCCAGAGTGCCATGACAAGGGCAGACGTCCAGGGCCAGGGTCCAGGTAGTGGAAGCATTCATGGGAGCTGGGAGCCAAGTGCACTGATGGTCACTGCAACATGAGATCTGGTAAGAGAGTCACAAAATAGCATGAGATCTGGTGAGAGAGTCGCGAAACAGCGTGAGATCTGGTGAGAGGGTCGCGAAACGGCGTGAGATCTGGTGAGAGGGTCGCGAAACGGCG